CTTGCTGCTAGAGTCGCGTATTCGTTGGTTAAGCTCTCGTCAGAGAAGACACTTGCAAACTTGTTGGAGTACAAGCGGCAGACTTCCTGTGGAGTGGAAGCGACTTCGCCGTTCAATATCATGGATGATGGTAGACCGGACTCTTTGCGCTGCTCCTTCACGTACTTCCAGAAAGACTTCGGGTGCGACTTGAATTTCCTTTGAATCCCTCGCAGATAATGCAAGTAGCATTGACTGCTGACTCGCTTGAACTGATAATTGAGCTTAACGTAGTGACGTTTCAGTGACATCGTTCGATATTTAGTGAATTTCCTCAACGCGGCTCTCTTGGTCGATTTCAGCTTCTTCAATTCGTTCGTCTGCCAAGGCAGGTGCGATGCAATCCGGTGAACGCTCTTAGGTACGTGGTCTGTCAATTACATAAGCCAAGACATGTGAAAAAGTTTGAGCGGCGGTTTCGACGTTATCAGAATCGAGTATGTTTTCCCAATTAATGCTTGACAGCACATCGGCAGTGCTACGATTATCGGCTTTCCGGAAATTGTAAGACACCGTAGTTGAGATGTCTTTGAGATCCCGAATGTGATTGTCTTCAACAGTAATAACCAAAGGAGGATGATGAGAACTTCCTTTACGAGTGGAGAAGGAGCCGACGAGATGAATGGAGCCGTATACTGAGCGCTTACGTAACAGAGGTCTAAGCTACGATTGTTCTCGTTAACCACGGGATTGATTTGAGATAACGTCACTGCGCTATAGCTGTCGAGAAGGCTAACTGATTCAGGATGGAAAGCAGAACCAGCGGGGTCCGGAAAGAGAAAGCCACTGTGGGAAGGTTTCCACGAAACACCAGCAAGATTAAAGTCGCCCAGAACAATAATCTCATCGATAGGTGACGCACAATCTAATATGGTGGAAACGGATCGACAATGAGTTTCGATAAGTTCAATTTCGCGAACTCGGTCGGGTGCAATGTATATCACACATGAGTACAGAGTAGTGTGCGATCGCTCAGCTTGACAGCTACCCATGCCTGTTCAACGCAGTTCCACATGTCGTGCTCTATGGCTCTAGCATTCAACTCGGACCGAACAGCAATCAGGACACCGCCACCAGTGGACTTTCGACTATTGTTCGGGTTTCGATCGCAGCGAAATACGTCGTACTCACATCCGAACGCTTGGCTGGAAAGCGTTCGAGAGTCTAGCCATGTCTCGGTTAAAACTATTACATCGTAGCAACGGTCCGATACAGCTAACTGGTACTCGTGAACGTCAGAATTCATTCCACCGATGTTTTGGTAGTACATGGTGATCTCGATGGTGATATCCTCTCTTCGGCGTATATCCGTGCTACGCGGAGCGATGTCCCTAAGGTATAACATTTAAAACTAAACATAAATATACCAGAGGTCATTAACTGTAAGAATTGAAACATAACCACTCTTTTAGTGTCTACAGTGATCTAAAATCCTCGGTCCGATCGTACTCTATGAACTGCATCAATGAAAACCAAGTTCCAATAATATTTATTTTTTGTATTAAAGGGTGATACGGTCAAAATTTGGTCAATATCAACTTGACGTATTTCTTTCAATTTTGCATTTAAAAAACCTGAACACCCCTCATTTTGAAGGTGTGTGTGTGTAGAATGTTGCTCCTATTTTGATTTTGGAATTCACTCTTCAGTTGTCAAAATGCCGTCCAAGCAAGAAGAGCAGCGTATCAAAATGTTGCTCGCGCATCGCGAAAATCCGAGCTACTCGCACGCAAAGTTGGCAAAATCGCTAAAAGTTGCCAAATCAACCGTTACAAATGTAATTAAAGTGTTTGGGGAACGTTTGTCGACAGCCAGGAAGTCTGGATTGGGGGGAAATCAAAAACCGGAAGCCGCTGAGACGACAAAGAGAGTTGCCGGTGGTTTCAAGCGAAACCCTAACCTCTCTCTCCGAGATGCCGCAAATAAGCTGGGTGTATCGTCTACAACCGTGCATCGAGCCAAAAAACGAGCCGGACTATCGACTTACAAGAAGGTAGTGACTCCAAATCGCGATGATAAACAAAATACGACGGCCAAAGCGCGATCCCGGAGGCTGTACACGACGATGCTGACTAAGTTTGACTGCGTGGTAATGGACGACGAAACCTACGTCAAAGCCGACTACAAGCAGCTTCCGGGACAGGAGTTTTATACGGCAAAAGGAAGGGGAAAAGTAGCAGATGTTTTCAAGCACATGAAACTGTCAAAGTTCGCAAAGAAATATCTGGTTTGGCAAGCCATCTGTACCTGTGGCTTGAAAAGCAGCATTTTCATAGCTTCCGGGACTGTCAACCAAGAAATTTACGTGAAAGAGTGTTTGAATAAACGTCTGCTGCCTTTCCTGAAGAAACACGGTTGTTCCGTACTGTTTTGGCCGGATTTGGCATCTTGCCATTACGGTAAAAAGGCCATGGAGTGGTACGCCGCCAACAACGTGCAGGTGGTTCCCAAGGACAAGAACCCTCCCAACACGCCAGAGCTCCGCCCAATTGAGAAATACTGGGCTATTGTCAAGCGGAACCTAAAGAAGACCAAAAAAACTGCTAAGGGCGAGCAGCAGTTCAAGGCAAACTGGCTTTCTGCGGCGAAGAAGGTGGACAAGGTGGCTGTACAAAATCTGATGGCAGGGGTCAAGCGTAAGGCCCGGCAATTCGGATTTGGAAAAGCGGAAGCCTAACTGAATATTTTTCCTGAATTTTATACTAATTGAACTTGAAAAAGAAATTTAATTTGATTTTTTAAATAAACGATTTCACCGATTTACACGCGTTTTCCCTTGACCAAATTTTGACCGTATCACCCTTTATAGTCACTTTAACACATATTAGGTCATTCGTGACTTGTCCGGGGATTATATTTGAATTCGTGACTTTCAGCGTGAGAGGCATGGATGATAACCAGTGGGCCCGTCCCAGTTAACCCACTAACGAAAACAAAATTAAAAGTTTTTAACTAATAAGCAATGTGTGTCCAACACTGGTGGGCGTTGGCCAAATTTGGATTTTTCATATATAATCCTAAATAGGACCTAGATTATTTAATACTCTAGTAACCTCAAGTCCGTGCTCTGTCACAATGTTTCATTGTGATTAATCAACACTCAAAGGGGTAAAATATCAAATTTGGGGTGAATTTGAAAGAAAGGGAACTTGGAGTGTAGAGCGCACTGCCCACTGGACGATTCTGAAGCCTGGCCAAGTGAGTGGGGTATGGGTTTATTTGATTGAACGTCATTTCCAATGTATATATTGATACATTCAAAGCATTGGCATTTGAGATAAGACAGAGATAGGATGCGGAGGGCCCGCTTAGGGGAAGCGTAACCCATGTTATGGTTTCCATTTATTAAATAGTTCAGATAGGCTGGAAATGACATGTTCATAGTGAGAAAATGTACCATATGGGGCCCGTTCACTGATCAAAATCAGATTCACATCGTCAGACCCTGCCCAAGAATAAGGGGATTGACGATGACTTGTCAAGTTTTATTTTGAATTTGCGTTTTGCATTTAATACTCTAGTAAATCTCGCGTCCGTGCTCATTCACAACAGTGTGAGGTGTCAATACTCACTGGGTCATAAGTCTTAGACCAGTTCCAGATTAGTTTGCTATTAATATCTTCTGCATCGCAGTTTGCTATAGATTACTAAATATGGGTTCTCTTTTCCGACCATAATAGTGTGAGGGAAGGGGGTGACTTCTGGATCAACAATGGAGGGGGGCCCATCGGCATTTGTGGGCAGACCGTCCAGGGCCCGTTCCTCACGGATCGGGGGCTGCTCACGCGGGCCAACACCATCTTCGTGTAGGTGGAAGTTTCCCCTATCCGCTGATGGTGTTGGTTTGCGTGGGTGGCCTTCGCTTTGTGAGTGGGGGGCTTTGGAGCGGTTTGTTTACGAGTGCTGATGGGCCCTTTTCTATTGTTGATCCAGAGTTAAACGTTGCGATATGAGAGCGAATAGAGGCAAATAAATAGGGAAGACAACACCATGACCCAAATAAGTAGCCAATGCATGCGGCTCACACTTAACTTGTTCTATTTCTTTCTTTCTTCCTATCATGTACTAATATTAACTGCCTGAGGACAAATGGGAACACGACCAGAAGATCAATAGGAGAAAAAGAAAATTTGAACAAGAAAAGAAGAATTAAACTTGCACCGGCAAGAGGAAGCAGACAGAAAGGATCATGCCGGTTGGAGATGGAGACAGCCAATGTATACTGGACGAAGCTTGTATCTAGGAAAAGTCGTATGTGCAGGAAACCGTAAGTAGGATAAGAATCGTAAAAGGTGTGTGCTTGCTTGATAAGATCCTAACTTTACATTAAATACACGGTAGGAATCGAATATCCATTTATGATTAAGGTTTTGCCCATTTTTCAGTGGGAGTGGCAATACTCATTGATGAGTGATTTATCGTACCCATTTATTAGTAACTGTTAGCAGCTAATGATTAATTGATTTACCTATTTTAGAATTACCTATACTTCACATCAGAACCTCATTTCCTTCAATTACTACTCCGTCGCAGCACACACCTTATATGGATCGCTAACCTTTATTTAGTTTCAGCATTTTCGACACTATAATCAAAAGGTGAGTTTTAAAAGTATAATTACCATGCATATAGATAAGTTAATGTACCAGAACCTGGACGGACACGAGCCTACCCAGGGGAGGACCCGGATACGACCACCCATGTGTGTCTAGAGTATCGCACGAGCTGACGAGTGCAACGGGAAGGACAGTAGGTGTATAGACTAGGGGGTTGGTCCCTAGATAAGCCTTCTTAGCGGAAGGCACAGCCTATGCACTGAACAATTACAATTACAATTACAATTACAATAAGCAATGTGTGTCCAACACTGTTCATGCAAAGTACCTATTGGATGGCGGCAAAAAAGGAAGCTTAAATTCTCCATTTTTCTATTGAATTTAAATTTTCCACAAAACTGGTGTAAGCTGTAATCATTATGATAACACGGTTAATTACCTAGAAATATATAACTTAGATGTATTTATTCGATCGATCCTTATCAGCTTCTGATTAGTTTATTCATCCTTTTCCTAATAGTACAATTCCTATTATCAGTTCGCGGTAAGAGGCTGCATTTATTGATTTCCAATCTCAATAAAAGCAGCCAACCGTTCTGAGACTGACATTCAGTTCATCTTTGATTCTTCACGACCAAACCATGAAGTCCTTCGTAGCTGTTGTTTTCCTAGTATTTGGAGTTGTAAGTATATTTTCATTTGCTGCTCTTTTCCATGGAGATTAATGACAAACTCTATTCCAGCTGCTCCACCAGTCCCAGGGTGTTGCCTACACCGACGAAGAGCACCTCAACTTCCGCCAGAAATGTTCGAAAATCCTTCAAATCTCCCCCGATACGAGACAGGAAGTAACTAAAAAGAACTTCTTGAACGACAATCAGGAGATGAACTGCATGATTCGGTGCGTCGGTATCCTGTCTGGATTCTACGATGACGAAACCGGTACCAACTGGGATCAGGTAGCCAGCGAGTTGGAAAACAAGCCTGAGAACTACGATGAGCATCGACAGGCTACGGCTGCTTGCATCGAAGCTATACCAAAGGAAGAATATGCATCAGACGTTTGTAAGAAAGCATACGTGAACTTCCGCTGTCATAGCAAATCTATCAGAGCAATTAGAGCTAGAGCTCTGGTCAACCAAGAATAAAGATGTTTTTCGTGGTGGAATCAACAAGTAAGACATTTCAAATTTAACCCATTAACGCATAAGGTTTTTTACAATTGAGAAATGTCAATGAATTTTGGCTCGTGAAATAAGGTAAATAAACAAACAGTTTCATGAAATATTTAAAATTATTTGGTAACATTCCGAAAGAAATCTTTAAATTGTGTCGTCAATTTCAGCTTCATTTTAATTGTTGTAGTTTTTAGGATAAACAAATTTGACTCATTCAGACCCATATAGGTTCTGGCTGCAACTTTGTTGAATAGGGGAAAGAGTGGGGCAATTTCGCCAATGGGGCATGGCCACCCGCTGAAAAAATAAACTTATCGAACATATTTTACAAAAAAATTAATAAATTTTGACGAGCTTCCTTACACAGTTACGTTTTTTAAGATTTTAAACACTTAGATATTTGTTCTGACTATTCGAACGTTCCAGAATCTTGGAAATTTCTTCATATCCGGAATATTTTAAAATAAAACTTTTTTTCCAGGATCATAAAATTTTCTAAACATAAAATCTCAAAATTCATTATTTTTCTAAATTTTCCCAAATCTGCATCTTGATTCTTTGTTTTTAGCTTATATTTCGAGAAAAAAAATCCTTGTTGAAATTATCCTGATACCCTGGAAATCTTCACAGGATTTTTTCAGTATTTTCTAAATAATTTGCTTGCATCATATCAGAATACCCTCAGAGATCACCTTTGATCTCTTTTTGGTATTTTTTAATTGTTGTGTTCTCGAAGAGAAGGAAACTAGTTTTAGGTTTAAGAGCTAATTATATTTCGACTTGTCTCTTCGGTGGTTGGAACTAAACTGACAAAATATTTTCAGGTTTGTCAGGCAACATATTCTTCTGATGTGTACGCCGATGGTACATCTCCCTTTTTTTTAAAAGGGATCGTAGGGTGCCAACCAAGCTGGAAGTCTACGGGTTCTTTCTTCACGCTGTTGAACTGGTTTTTTAATATACACACTGTTAGCAGGAACAACAGATTCGTCAAACAGAGACGTGTTGGCAACCCGTGATCTCTGCTATATGCAGTCCGTTTATGTTTTTCTTCAAATGTCTAGTATAAGAATTTAATTCCTTTTGTCTTTTGTCTCTCTTTATTAGTTTTTGTTTGTCTTGTCCCCCCGTCTCGATGAGTCTCATCGTCGCCCACTGGTCACCCACCATAGCCGGTCGAACTCCGGACGAAGCTAGAACAGCACTACCGTTCATACTGGCGACAACGCTCTGATGAGACAACGAAACCCTACCCCAAGCTCCTCCCCTGATCCTATCCTTCGAAAATGTACCCTTCTAACCTCGAGTAAGCCGCGAGTAATCGGCCCAACTCCTACTAGACATAGAATTAAGTGAATCTTGTTACACACAGTGAACAATGAATTATCGGCTCCGTAAAGCTAACGCGATTGAGCCTTCCAAATAAACGAACTAGATAAAAAAAAAAAAAACAGATTCGTCATCCGTCATTACATCATCGGGCTCGTCATCATCAGGAATCAGTTCATCATCTAGAATTGGTTCTTCTATCAGCACTGCTGGGACCAACGGTTTCGGAGCTTGTAGGTGGTGTTGAGTGTAGCAACGCACCCGCAACGCTGCCAACCTTGAAGAGAGAAACCCATTTCATTTTTACCAACACACCTAAACTCTGTAAAGTACGCAGTTCTATTGGCAAATCAAAGTTAGCACTCGTGGAGAATAGAAGAACTATGAAAGTGATGATGGTTTCAAAATTTTCCACGGGGAGGTATACGAGTGCAATGTTAAAATGCTTTTATTTTGCAAATGGAGCGTTTTATTTAAATCTGGTTGCTGCTACAGTTGTAGAAAAGTTGAAATCTATGTATACACCTAAAAATCTGAAAAGAAATTATTATTTTTATATTATATGTCTATTGAGTAGTCCTCCAGTTTTCTACTAACGTAGCACTAACCAGATTTAAATAAAATGCTCCATTTGCAAAATAAAAGTATTTTAAAATTGCACTCGTATACCTCTCCGTGGAAAATTTTAAAACCATCATCACTTTCATAGTTCGTCTATTCTCCACAAGTGCCAACTTTGATTTGCCAATAGCAGAACAGACCACGCGGAAGAAAATTTTCATTTACAGTCCACTGTTTCTCCCGAGCTCGTTCATTTCTGGTCCTTCGAACCGGATTTTCACTAGTTATCGGGAAGTTGGCCAACTTTCGTGCGAAGAAAGTTGGAGTTCGCAAGTGAATCGGAAGATTCCGGAAAGATCACCTTGTGTATGGTGTTAAATCGGTGGAACCGCTGCCGAAAGTGTGACGCCATCTTGGGTGATTCGAATGAAAAGTGCTATCGTCAGGCAAAGCTTTGTCTGCGTTGCAGTTTTGTGAAGATAACCATCAGCACGGTGTTCCGTCGGCGGGATTGCACCCGATTTGTGACGCCTTTTGGCGAATCGCGTAATAAATATATCACCCATAGCGGTGAAATTTGAAGCTAGTGCTTTCGTTTGTTGGAAAACTTCGCGTGTGCATGGTATTGCAGCCGTAGCTGAAAGTGTGACGCCATTTTGATTCGTGCATCGAAGAGAGTGATAATTGCTGGCAAATTTTTGCATACCGCTTGTCCGGACTTTTGCCGGTAGTATCGCAGCTGAATTCTGACGCCGTTTGGCGAATCGCGTTGTGAAAATATCACCCATAGCGGTGACAAAAAAAAAGTTTGTGCTTTCGTGAAGAAAAGAACGCCACTGCCGTGAGTGCGGTGTTGTGTTGATCGTACTTCTTCAGTGAAGAATTGCGACGCCATTTTGGCGAACCGTTTGAAGCTTTTGCTTTAGTGAAAAGAAGAAGTCTTTCCCTGATGTTGTGAAGATGATGCACACTCCGAAAAATACAAAAAGCAACGCGCAAGCTGGAGCACAATCCAAAAACGGTGAAGATCAAAAAGACGAACCAGTCAGTGAACAAAAGAAAAAACAAAAGAAAAAAGAAGAAATGAAGAAAATAAACGAAGAACTGAAAGTGATCAAAATCCAATTGGATGCAGTGAGAAGAAAGCTGAACAGGGTGCAGACGGCACTCAAAGTGAATGCGGAGGTGCCAAATCCTAATTTGGAAAATAGGCACTTTCTGCAACTGCAGCTGAAGACCATCGAAGATGCGTTGGTGGAATACAATGCCAACCAGCAGCGCATCTACAGCTTGGACGTGGGTGATGAGGCCCGCGAGGAAGCAGACGTAATGTATGTCCGATTCGAGCAGCGATACGGTGAGTTGTACGTTTTCATTATTAAATTGCTGGACGATATTGTCAAGAAAGAGAATGTTCCGGTAGTAGCAGCAGCTCCAGTACCGGTAGCTTCCGCTGCAGCGATGCACCTACCGCCGCTCAAGGTACCGTTGCCTACATTTGACGGTACATACGAGAACTGGTATGCATTCAAGTCGATGTTCGAAACGATTATGAATCGCTATCAGTCGGAGTCCCCAGCGATAAAATTATACCACCTTCGCAACTCGCTGGTAGGCAAGGCTGCAGGAATAATTGACCAGGAGATAATAAACAATAACGATTATGCAGCTGCTTGGTCGACATTAACCGAGCGATTCGAAGACAAACGGTTGATCATCGATAAGCATATCGATGCCCTTTTCGATCTTCCAAGGATGACGAGCGAGAACGCAACAGAATTGCGTAAGCTGATAGACGTCTGTTCGAGAAATGTTGATGCCCTCAAAAACCTTGAGCTTCCAGTTGAAGGATTGGGAGAAAGTATGCTGATCAATCGAATCACAAAGAAGTTAGATGACGAAACTCGCAAGGCATGGGAATTGGACCAATCCGCAAACGAAATGCCGGATTACGATTCAACGATGGAATTTCTGAAAGAGCGATGCCGAGTGTTGGAGAAGATCCGTGTTCCGGAGAAGCGCATCGTTAAACCCGTGAAACTACTGAAGCCGACCGTAGAAGTGAGAACCAAGGGTAGCAGTCCAGTGACAACCGCTGACAAATGTCCACAGTGTTCAAACAACCATGCGTTATGGAAATGTGACGTCTTCAAGAAGGCAAACCTGACAGATCGATACAATACCCTTCGACGCATCGGAGCGTGCTTCAACTGCCTCCAAAAGGGACATCGGACAGTCGAGTGTTCATCGGAACATTCTTGCAAGCAGTGCAACAAACGGCACCACACCTTCCTTCATCCAAACGAGACCTCTACAAAAAAGAGTGAAGCTCCGTCAGCGGTAAACTCAAAAGACGATCAGCAGAATCAGAAGCGAGAGGTACCTGCTGGGCCTAGTACTTCAACACCTGCAATCAGTAAGGAGGAACAGCAGTCAAACTTCTGTACTCGACCAAAGTCGGGTAGACAGATACTACTCTCAACAGCGCTAGTACCGGTCTATGGAAAAGCGAACAACCCGTACCCTTGTAGAGTTCTTCTTGACTCGGGGTCACACACAAACTTCGTTTCGGAACATTTCGCTACGTTGTTGGGATTGAAGAAGCAACCTGCTAACTTTTCGATCGGTGGGTTGAATGAAACGCAAACGAAGGTTCGATTCAAGATACACACGCAGCTGAAATCTAGAGTAACTGATTATACTGCTTGTCTTGAGTTGCTCGTGGTACCGAAGATAACTGGAGAGCTTCCGGTTACAAAGATTGATTCCAGATCGCTCACGATTCCGGGTGATATCGAGTTGGCTGACCCGAATTTCGGAGTTCCCGATAAGGTTGACATGCTGTTGGGTGCCGAAATATTCTTTGAGCTGCTGAAGTCAGGACGTCTACCAGTACCAAACTGTGCAGCCGTGCTCCAAGAAACCCACTTTGGCTGGGTTCTTAGTGGTTCAATACCTGATAAAGGACCTAATGTGGTTCATTCGTTCTGTGTGCGAGCTGAAGAAGATATTGGAGAGCTTGTGAAGCGATTCTGGGAAATCGAAGCGTATTGCGATTCCGAGATTCGGGATGAATCAATCGAAGAGGCTTGCATGAATCATTTTCGTGAAACTCATGAGCGGACTGCAGAAGGACGATACGTTGTTCGTCTTCCGTTTAACGACATGAAGTTGCAGCTTGGTGACTCGCGAACGATGGC